CATTTGTGAAGTGGTAGAGACACATGACTATATATGCACTAATCTAGATAACATGTTTTGGCTTTTCCTTCTGGAACTAGTAACAGGACACATTGCTTTGATCCTGCAGTAAACAATGCTGTTCCTACTCGCCAACTTTTAATTCACTTATAACATCTAACACCAATATAGGCACCAAAGAGAAAGTTCTCTACCAATTATGATGCACATATGCCTCATAAGTCACATGCTCCAACACTAGCACAAAACTCAAGAAAGTATAATAGTGAGGTATTTAACAAGAAGCAATATGAAACTATTTCTTACTGCAAAGTGCTTTGAGAAGCCACTTTTAAAGGTGTTATATAAAATAAAGTTTATCATCATCATCATTGTTAGACTTTAAATATTTAAAAATGGATACAATATTTTACCCGGTTTTAATTGTATGCATGATTTATCTTTATTCAGAATTAGTTGGTCTCTCCCAGCTCTACAGGATATTTTCCTTCTGGCACAATAAAGCTACTGATGGATTGGTTTTGGGTTTTTGGGGCCTTTCCAGCAGGAAGTGAGTATTATTCATCTGTTATTTTCTATAAGTACTCGTAATTATTTCCAAGACTTTTTGAACCTCTGTTCTTAAACTTGCTGTGTTATATCAACGTGCCTGCACCCACAAAGCTATGCAGACGCAAGGCAAGTAGAACCTATTGTTTAGCTGGATGTTCTAGAGTTCAAGAGTTTGCTAGAGTTCTTGTTTTGTAACATAGTGATGACTGTAGGCTGAACAGAACAGATCATTTGTCAAGATCCTGGACCCTCTACCAAAGTGGCTTAGGCTTAATCTCCCAGTGCAGACTTTGCTGTTGAACCACTTTTCCTAGCTGTATAAGTAGGTATCAGCATTTCAAAAGGGTGGCTGTCATTCCACTCAGGAGTTATTATTGTAGTCCTAGTTTGTTGTTATAAATGTATTAACACACCATAAAGCACTCTGACTGGAAAATCCTAGTTACCATTCAGACAACACTACATAAAAGGAGCCACCAGATTTTCACCACAGACTCCTGTATTAATGCCCTTCATTTTGAGAATATCAATCAAAAATATTACCTAGTTTGCATTACACCTGCTTAAACACTTCTTTCAAAACTACAGGTCCACTTTTGTTTTATTTACAAAATTGGTAAAAGCTACCCAGGCAATCTGAGACAGGTTCTTACATTTCACATATTAAAGACATGAATAAATGATTGATTATTTAAAATAAAAAAAATGGTGCTGTGCAACATATTCGTTTTCAAGATGCCTTTCACAGTAAAGTATGTTTAGATTTATGTATATGCGACACGATAAGGTTCAGTAAATCTCTTTTAGGACACAATATGGTATATTTTTCATTCCTTTATTCCACTTAGAATGAGGAGAAAAATGCAGCTGGAAGCTCATTAATGAAACAAAAACACAAATCAACGCCTACAGCCATCTGAGATTGCACCCTTTTGTACATATCAAAGTATACCATTCTAAGCTTTCTCCCTTACATTGTTTCTGCTAAACTAATCATCACCACCATCATCCCTGAGGGTATAAACACTGCTGTTTGTCTTTCAACCACAATGATTTACAACTTTATGCTGAGTATATCAGTGCTAACAGTCCCACACAAGGCATAAATCACAATATTTTCAGAGGTTGGCTGATTTGGAAGATAGAGATAAAGAAGATTTACAACTATAAGATGCAATTACAATAATTAAAAAGTAAACCAAAAAACAGTGAGTATACAGTAGTGTGCATTTTTATTTAAAACAATTGCCTTGGTAGTTTAGATTTGTTGTTTCTACAACTCTGTGTCATGTATTGCCACTGTACTATGATGTGCAGCAGGAGAAGCTAACCCTAACCTCCTGACATTATATAAACATGAATTTGGCACACCTTATGTCAGATAATGTCTTTTTCACTCTCCAGTCACCTATGTAATGCTATTTAAAAGGAGGCAAGAAGATGTTACTGTGGAAGCTAATGTATCAAGTTCAAAATCAGTTGCTATTTCTGTCAAGAGTAATTTAACTTTAGAGCTGTTACCATATTTCCAATCAGAAACGTGTCCTTATGGTTGCCTCCATGGTGCAGAAAACTGAGTGATGAATGAAAGAATGAATGAAGACAAAGGTATCTGTGTTACAAGAAAATAATTCCATTGAATGACATCATAAAGCACTTGGGTATAATCTTATGTGATATAAATACCTCTGAAATGAAATTTTTCTTCCACCTCACTGCACTGTAACATTACATGGGTATTACTGTCATTGCTCAAAATATTATGAGCTGTACTGGATCCATGCAGACCACTGTGGTAGGCAGCCAGCCTAATCACTGTCTGAGAGGAGGCAGATGTTGGTCTTTACTATACTGAAACCTGACAGCTGCATTCCTCCCTATTTCATAGCGTGCTCCTTTTAGAAAGTGTGAGGTAGCCAGAAAAGGGCAAAAGATGTCACACAACAGGGATCAGCAACAACGGAGGGATCCTACTCTGTTGGGCCCCTGAGCAAGGCCCTTAATCCCAACTTCTCCAGGGGCACTGTACAATGGCTGACCCTGCGCTCTGACCCCAGGTTTGTCTCCCTGTCTGTGTGTGTGTCTCATGGAGAGCAAGCTTGGGTATGCAAAAAGACTAATTCCTAATGCAAGAAATTATATAGGGCTAATAAAGCGATGTTATGTTATTTTATATGTTATGTGTTGTGTTGTGAGCCAAAGACATTAACCACTTAAGGAAAATCAAAGAGAATGGAAGTACAAACTAGCCCAAGGTCTGAGTTACTGAAGAAATCAGCTAAATAGTAAAGACAGAAAACTGAGACAAAGAGCTTTCTTGCAGAACCTGATTTTCTTTCCTGTCTGACTTTTCTTAAAAGCATAAAAGAACACAAAATTTAACATTCCCCAATCTTGTAGACACCATGGAAAATCATACCTATAGTAAGTCATCAACCTGTCATCCAACTGTTCATCCAACTTCCTCATTGCATTAAGCTTTTAACACACCCCTGTCCATGCAGAACTTCACTGTCGATGAAAGTTCAATTTTGGTAGATAAATGTCTAATTATTTTGAGATGTCATTCAATGCCTTTAATATATTATCATTTCTATTGCTTGGTAGTTGTGGGTAAAGCCAGATTGTTGACCACTTTCTGAAGTCTATGTTAAAAAGGAAGGCAGGGTGTATCCTGCCCTGGACCAGTTGCTCCCCTGCATTCCTGAATTGGATAAAGTGGTTAGCAAACTGATGCATTGATATGATTACATCAGCAATGGATGGATTATAATTGTAAATACAAAACAAACCAGGAAAACCAGAAAAATATTATATTTATGATCTAAATCTGAACATTCACATCAAATATTTTAATAAAACAATGAAGTTTAGGCTAACCTGGATTTTCTAGAACCGACAAGGCTGCATGCCTATTTCCTTGCCAGTTACATTCCACAACTGCTTATTTATAACAGCTCCTCACTCTTTTGTCTTTGCAATTTTTTATACTCAATGTCAAGAGCTTTCCTGAAGCATTCAATGATTTTCTTATTTAATTCACATTAAAAATGTGAATTTTTAATTATTTATACATTTTGTTGTTGTGTTAATTAAACTGCATATTGTATACTTTGAATCCAAATAGTAAAAGATTACAATTACTGAATATTGAACAAATGAAAAAAATGTTCCTTCTCATTTTTTTATTCATTACAATAATATAATGTGATATTTTGCCAATGAGGAACCTGCTGGATGGGGAAAAACACTACATCTGATGACGTTATAGATGTTATAAACATTATAGAACGTTATAGAATGTTTATAGAACTTAAAAGGAGCTGCACAACAATGAAAACTTGGTCTCTCATTCCACACCTGGTAACATGATAACCATCAGTGTGCAAATTTCAAGGAGGCAATTAAGAAACATTAGGCTGAGAGAGAGTCAGTGTATAAACAGAATTCTGCCCAAGATTTTCTGTACAACAAGAGACATCTTAAAACTACCTATCCAAATTAAATTTTGCCTCATCAACAAAATGAATGCAGTTAGACTTCTGTCGAGAAGCATGAATATTGATGTATATTCAGTAGTGCACCTACTGTATAACCAGGAAGAGCAAATTGTTTGAGTTTCTCCACAACTCCATTTCACTCACACACTTGACCAGAGTCACACCTTGGTCACACCTTCTAGGACAGCCAAACTCATAGAGACACTAGCAAGGACTTTTTGTCCAGTTAGATACTGAACCAGTGGAAGAAAACCAGACTGTTGCAAAAAATCTCTCCCAAAAGCTCCAACTCTCCACATGGTATTTTCAAACTCTTCATTAAACCACCTGGCCTGCATGTTGCTTTGGATGAATGTCAGTTTTAAGATCACATTATAAATCATGAGAATGAAACAAGTACTCCAAATGGATCAAGATACATGGATCAAGATACCAACAGCTGAAGCAAAGGTACCAAAATGTAATGAAAAAAAAGAAAATTGAAAATGAAATTCAATGCAGCTTATATACTGTAAGAAATAAGAAAGATTATTAACGAGAGAAGACCATCAGGTACAAACAGCACAGCTCATTTGGTTGTTAGGTGATCCAAAGACGTCATCTAGCCATTTATTAAATAAAGTCCGCACATTACTTCAACAAGACGTCTGGGTAGCTGTTTCCACAGTGATAATGCTTTGATATAAAAAGTGTTTCCATTCTCAGATTTACATCCAATTATCTATACATTCTACCTGAGCACTGTGGCTTGTACTTTGATATCGTTTGTGAAGAAGTCCAGTTTTTATGATTTTGCAGAAAGTGTTAATAGTCACGTTGCTGAATTTGTGACCCTGGCTTTAACATCTTTTACATTTGTGGTACATCTTGCAGAAACAAGAGATGCAGAAACAAACGGATACCTTACATACTCATCCGGAGATAAAATGCATTAAATGCTCAACTTACCCTGAAAGCAGCAAGGATAATTCTGGTAACTTTTTCTTTCACAGACTCTTGCAGGATGTCTGACAGTGCAGGAACAACATTGTACCTGCGCAGGTATTCACACATCTGAGGGTTGAAAGCTAAGAGCCAGATGCAGAAGATCATCTGATACTGTAACTGGAATCCACACTTGTTGTTCAGGACTGCTGTGATGCTGAAAACAAAATTAGGACAAGTCATGTTCATGAAGGCACTTTTGAAGATATATATGAAAATATGCATATATAGTAAGAAAGTCATCTAGGTGGATTTGTGCAAATAAACAAATAACAAAGATGATCAGCTAATTTACACTTGTACCAAAAGACAAATTTCCAGAGAAACCCAAAATGACACCTGAGACCACTACTGTTCACAAAGGCAAGCAAGGGTTTTCCTGATGTACAGTGAAACTTTTAATTACATTCTGATTTATAATAAGAAGCAAAGTGGTCATGTCATGGTCATGAATGCTGTCACTGAAATTGTTGATTGGGAGTTTTGCCACAAAATATGGAAGTAAGGAGTGACTGCATTGTGACACGAACCCAGATTGCAAGCTGTAGTTCAGCATGTTTTTTACTTTGTATCATAGAACTGACCCTAACTAATTCTGTTAGTTTTACTCTTTAGTAGCATCTCTTCTGTTAAATTTATTTTTAACTGTGACAGTGCTGACATATTTTCAGGTTTCTATCATGACAAAAACATGTTCAGGTGTAAAATATGCCAATTAATTATTATTGCTTAAGTGCTAACCCCAGCGATAAAAATAGTATCTTCCTTATAAGGTACCCTCTCTGGTGCAGTAGTTTACAACCCACTGTATGTGTTTTTTATTTGTTTATATGTTTTGTTATTTTATTCAAATATTTTCTATAACTCTGAAATGAACAATACAATTATAAAACAAAGGATTTATACAAAAATAGAATTAGATATATCAAAATGTATTCAAGTTCGTCCCCTCATTAACATATTAGAACACATTTATATATTGTGATAACCAGATTACTCCTGCTCTGCATCATTCATCAGGAAAGCTTTCAGACAGTATGGTCTTTACAGACACTACATAATTACATTTGTAAAATCTGTCAAAAGAATTTCTACTTACCAGTTTACACCATCTGCTTCTACCCATGCAAAACGGTACTCATTAACTCTTAGCATTAACTGCAAACAACCTGCCACACACTGAACATACTGGGAACTCTGAAAATCAAAAGAAAACTGAAATGACTATGCAGGGGAATATATATTTTATTAAAAAAAGGAAAATTTGCTTTAACATGCAAGATAAATGTAAAGAACAACTGAAAATCGCTCAAGCTGCATCTGCATGTGTTCGCTGGAAAGGAACAAGTAATGGTTAATTCGGTGCTGATAAGTAGAACTTAAGTCCATAGACACACTTGGACTTTTCCCTCAAATGTACAACATAACAGGAAACTACACATACCTGGAAACCGGCATAACCGAAAACGGAATTGGGGGTTTCAAAAACTTCAAAAACATACAACCCCGAACATAATATTCTATTGGACAATTCAAAATACAGAATGGGATTTTAAAAAAAAATGGAAGCCTTGAGGACTTGTCAGGAAGCAAACACCAAAAAGCAACATATTTTCTGGATTTCCAAGGAGTAGACGTAAGTAAAAAAAAAATTGGAACAAGCTCACTGGGAAACTGGAGACATTTGTGTCAACTTGAAAATGAGCTCAGTTTCAAATGAAGTCAGTTAATATTAGTATTCTTTCCTAGTAAAAGTGAAGCAGCATTTCCAAAAAGTAGGTAGTATCTGAGTGCAGACAAATTACCTAGCTGAAGTGAATGCTCGGAAATAGGAAGATGTGTTTTGCACAGCATAAGAGGAGCCAAAGAGGATACCATCTTGAAAGGGATAACATTTGAATGTGCACAGCCCAAGAGCTGTGCTATATCACATCTGTGCTTTAGACCGAATGTAAAAGTAAGCTCTTTGTCTTCTCAGTGTGCAAGACTTTCACAATAAGCAGGTCACATAATATGCAAGTCACATGATACTAAATCTCAGAACAGAATATCACACATTTTAATTTTTTGCTCCTGTTTTTTGTTTTCTATTTAAAATTTCTGAATGCCATTTTTATTTTATATAAAAGAAAACATACAAGAGCTCCTTTAGTTGTCTGTGACCTTGCTTGGGATGTGCTAAATAATTCAAGAAATTATATGTCCTCCCATTTTCACTCCAGGGATAAACATTTAATCAATTAAGCACTTCCTTATGAGCTTGCATGATTAATCATTAATTCAGCTGAAGGACTAAATAAAAATTGTCAATAAAAAATGGCCCTTGTATTCAAATGCATTCTTTTTTTAAATTTAAATGGAAATAAGTTTTGTTTGTGAGAATTAAGGATCAATAACCCAAATACCCTTTACATAAATCTCACAGGTCTCAAGTCAATTACATTTTACTATTACTACTGTACCTCACAAAGAAAAGTGAAAAGATGAAGGTGCAAATCACGAAAACTGTATGTTAAGAGAAGAATAAAGGGCAGAACATTAAGGTTCCATTAAATAAAAGCTCGCTGTAGTAGATCATACTTACTTGATATGAATGTAGTTGAATATAAATCATAGTTTGAGGAAAGCAAGAAACCAGTGTGTACAGTTGATAACATTTTTGTTATTCAAAGAAGGTGGCATGATAGCAATCTTATCAACATCTCCATCAGCACCAACCTCAGGTGATTACAAATGATTAAAGGAGTAAACCACAGTGAGTTCAATTTGATGAACCTAACCCCAAAATCATGAATGGACAGTAGCCACCTTTTACCAACAAACGTTCACCAAAAAGGCAGCACAATTAGTAATTAAGCTTAGCACACTGACATTTCAGAAGAAACAGAAAAGGCACAAAAAGCTGTTAAGAATAGATACTCATTCCTTCAGTGTGCCAAGAAATGCAGGACATGGAAAGCAAAAAGGTCCAGAAAAATAACTGCTAGTGAAGAGGAATGCAAAGTGAAAGAAGATGTCTTGACTGTAGTCAGTATAAGTTAGTAGTTATTGTTGCTGGGTTCTTGAATATATGGTTTTTAAGATGTTTAATGAAAATCCTACCTGAAGAGATTATCATTAAAAAACACTTGAGACTACTTAATGTATGACAGAGTAACTCAAAAAGCAAGTGTACCATATATTTAGCTGCATACTATATGAGATAATATACACATACTGCAAATGGTTCTTTTGTTGTTGTCAATGTGCCGTTATTTATTTGTTTACCAGATACATTTTCAAGGTTAAGAAAAGTTTAATTTCATCAGCAAGCGTTGCATTACTTAAATAAAAAAAAACAATTGTGCCTCAGACAGCAGCAAGAAGATTAGAGAGAGAATGAAGCAAGGAAAGAATAATGTTAAAAGCTCATAGTTTAGCCAGAAGCCATTCTTATACTTCTGGTGCAACTGTATCTTACACTCAACAGAATAGGCAAAGTGACTGTTTTAAAGGTTAAAGCCTCGAAGCCAGTGTAGGCTCTGTGGCATCTATAGTTTCAGGAACGATTTATGTAGTTTAAGTACTTACATCACTTGCAGAAACCGTTCCAGTTTCAGGACCTGCAGCACGCAGTTTCTAACAACAAATAAAAAAGTAGTGGGTGAAATAAATGTCATCGGTTTTCTTTTGTATTATGACCCCATGTAATGTGTTTATCCACCTACTATACGGTGCAAGGGCACTGTTGCAGATCATGCCCTATAGGCAGCGATTTATAAATGTGTGTCTGGTTAACATCTTCCTTTTATTGCAGTTCTTTAAGTCTGATTACAGTGTTATAATAAAACACTGCAAGAAGAAATGACTAGCATAATCTGAAGAACTGAATCTTGCCACACAGATTGTACACTAGCACTAAAAACAAATTCATGTCTGACCAAAAAATAATGCTGAGTTTTCATCAAAACATCTTCTTTTAATTCCCAAGACACTCCTCTTTGCAATTTGAACATTAATTTGTATGATTGACAAGAGTGAATAATTTTCAGCAGTCTCTGTTTAATGGTTTAACAACACAAAACATAAGACGTACTACACAATAACTGAGGTGTTCCTCCCAAAATCTCTGCTTTTACTGGCATTACTCATTTTGATACAATATCTTTTTTTGCAGACTTATCTCCCACACTTATGTGGACAGATGAGATGCCTTCCTAGAAAACACTCCATCAACCCCGATCACGGAAGTAATCACAATCCTTTAGAACACAGGCCAAATAAAGCATTAGACATGCTGCTTAGTAGAACACACTCACTAAACAGAAAGAGAACTTTACATTTGACAAAAAAAACAACATACTCATATGGTTCGAAATCTTTACAATTCAAAGTTGTTTTGCTTCAGATTACTGCTGAAAAAATATTAAACTCACCCTTGACTTATGCATTAAAACTATTGTGCACGCCACTTGCACAACAACAATGTCCCACAAGATGTCCCACAAGATGTCCCACAAGCAGTGAGATTGGCGAACACATTTAGCCATCCCCCTCGGACCACAACTACACCATCACCATCTACCTCATTATGATTTTTTACTTATTGCACATCTCCAGTCATTGTTTACACGTCTGTATTGTTTACATCCAAACTGTCTACATGTTTACTTGTACATTGTCTACTGTTTGAATAGTGTCTTGATGCACTGTTTAATGAGTGGAAGTATCAGTATCAGTATCACTACCACTAGATTCTTCAATAGCTTCTATCCACAAGCAGTGAGACTGGCGAACACATTTAGCCATCCCCCTCGGACCACACCTACACCATCACCAT